GAGATGACCTTATCTTGACGCTCGCAGAGCGATTGCATCTCGCACCGGGGAAGACGCCTCTAGAAGCCGCGTGCATTTTGCAGCATTGACCATCCTATTGTACGACATCAGCCAGAAGAGCCATTCGACAGTGCGAGGCGGCGTTGAGTTAGCGAGCCGAGAGATGCAGCCATGTCTCTGTCGGCATGCACAAACAGACAGATAGAAACATTTGCACTGAGGAAACAGAACATTGTGGCTGCCACACACATGGCCGTCCACAACTGAGAAGCCGTAGCCCCCATGTACTACTTTGCATTAGTTAGAGCGCCTTCAACAGCCCCATCCTCCCCAGGCCCTGCTAGCGCTGGCCGCTGGAGGTGGTGGCATCTGCAGGACGAGGGATGTTTCCTCCCCCCGTGCCGAGTGCGCATGTATGTGCGTGCGTGCATCGAGGACCCGCCTGGACTTGAGGTTTCCTTATTGTAGGTTGTTTCTTAGCTTGGACTAGCGCCGTGGTGTCTTTTATCGTGGGCGCTTACACGACGACGACTTTCTGCTATTTTGAGCAGGAAAATGGATCTGGCCAACCAGAATTTGGCCTGACGGGTTAGCGCTCTTAATTTAGAACCAATGAGAGAACAGAGCAGGGATACGTACTCTTTTCCCCATCCTCGACGCCGTTTCTGCCCAATTGTTTCCCGCGATATGCAGCGTCGAAGCTGCCGACTCACCTCGACTGTCCTTTGTCAGTCCACCGGCAGCCCGCCGCTGGCCAACCAGGGCCCGACCTCCTCGCTGACCTCCCGCCATCTCCCATGGGCATGCTTCATGCTACTATCTACGTACTACACTATGTATGCTACTCATGCTGCGTCCAGGTCACTCTTCACACTGAAAAGACACTAAAATTATCCCCTGAGGGATGTGCCATGGCAGTCAAGGTGGGCATTCTCCCTCCCATCCGTCCAGTGCGAGGCCTGGCCAAGGCGCCGGCACGCCTAAAAGGGATATGCCTTTGGGGGCAGAAGCATGCTCGACCAACAGTGGCCATCAGATCGTCGAGGTATCTTTCGCTCTGTCTGTCTCCCTGGTGCTACCTCGTCCATGGGCTACCAAGGGTACCCTACCTTAGCTTTTCTCTACCGCTCTTGTCGCTCGCCCGCACACACATCACATTGTAACCGTCCTCGTGCATATGCCGGTGCGGTGCGCAAGCAGAAGAGCTTCACTCACTCACTCACTCACCTCCTCTCCCGGTGGCTGTTTCTGCCATACATAACCATCTGTAGGCGCCCGTCTGCGTCTCCTAGTCCTCCCCTTCTCTGTTTTGCGACTTTCCCATGATTATATGAGCATAGCGAGCTTTTTCCATTGTTTCCATTGATTCCTCTAACACCCAAGGTATTACGGGTAATACCACCACAGCTCTTTATCTATATCAGGCCCCATAAACGGAAATCGCCGGCAACGGCCCCTTCGAACAGAGCAAATTGTACACAGCTGGACCCATAAACCTGCAAACGCAGCAAAGTTATATATACATACAAATATGGTGAGTAGAAGAGCTGGCGGCTGGGATATGAGCCGAGCAGAAGACTCATTAGAGTCGCAGAATCACACACGCCATACTATGGCGGCGAGACCGCGGGAGATGTTGGAGAAGGCGCATTTACATGACACCTTTTTCGGCCTAAAGAATGCGGGGCACCCGGAGCGCAACTCGGTACTCACCGAGTTCATGATGGAGTCTGAGTGGGACGAGGACGACATCCTTAGTGAGCTTGAGGACGTCGACGATATTGTTAGCGAACCTGAGGATTGCGAGAATTCACCGCGAGTTAGCGTGCACTCTGTAAGTCTCCCACTAAGTTGGTGTAAGTAAGTTCTGTGTGCTAACGAGCCCTAGTCTGGCCAACCCAGTATCACGACGCTTTCCTCGTACGAGGAGGCTCACACTCCACAATCAGCACGAGCGCGCTCTGCCTACAATTTTGAGGTTGAGTCGCTAAAGCAAGTAGAAGGGCCAAGGGGTCCGCATCTTTTCCGCAGCTCCTCTCTTTCTCTTGAGTACCAGGATGCTCTATCCCTCTCGCCAGTCACACCAAGAGCACCGAAACCCAAGACAGCAGACTTTCATTACTCTCTACCACCAAGGAGAAGAGACAGCCCGTTCCAATTTACCAGCGCGGAGTTAGATACATCCGACCTACCGCAATGGTCTCCAGAAAAGGTGGCGCAATGGATGCTCAATGCTGGCGTTGAGATCCAATTCGCCGAGAAATTTGTCGAGAATGACATCAATGGTGCTATCCTAATTACGCTGAAATTTGAGGATCTAAAGGAACTGGGCATTGGATCATTTGGAGTACGTACAAAGATCTGGGAAGAGATTCACGTCATGAGGGACATCCGCCTGTCTGAGCCTGCGCCTGAGACCCCAATCGAGGATGAGCCAAGCAGGGAAGTTCGAAGGGAGCAGCGAAGAATGGACGACGACGGAGCGCCGCCAAAGCGAGGACAGAGCAATCGCAGACGGAAGACTCCCAAGCCAGAGGACACAATTACTCCTCTAGAGTCAGTCTCAATTGTCGGCATTGAGCAAGTCATGCCCAAGCCTCATCAGTGCTCCAAAGGCAAGAATTGCCGGAAGTGGCAACGCAACCAGCGCATGATTGAGGCCTTTAAGAAAGACCACCCATACTTCGATGTGGATAAGGGTGGCTTCGTCATGGTTGCTGGAGACCCTGGCAACCCAGAGACTGCCCGAGCAATCAACCAACCTGACGATATCTTCCGCCCTGTCTCTGATGCTATCCCATCAGTGGTAGCGTCTTCCGATGTCCTTGGCCCAGGCATTCCTCCTCTTCAGTATCTTCAAGAAGCTTCTCTCCGAAACATCCAGGCACGAGACCCTCAAGACAATGTTCGGCAATTCTTGAACTTCCAACATCAACACATTGAAGACTCAAGCGAGGTGCCGCCAACGCCACCGTTTGAGGTCCTCGCGGGCAGACATGCACCCCACGAAGGCCTAAGATCTCTCCCTAAGCTTTCCATTCCTGGTGGCAATGCTCAAAGACAAGACCCAGGGTCCGCATGCCCTGGATCCGCCTGCCCTGGCTCAGCATATCCTGGATCTGCCTACCCCCAGACTGCTATTCCATCTGAGCCCGCAGAAGAGCCAGAGACAACACCAACTGGTGTCTACCGCTTCGGTACACCCTTCTCTGAGATGGATGTTCCCGTCACTGCAGTGCCTCTAGGACCTGTAGCTCGAGACATCTCACAATCCGTTCCTCCAGACATGAACTTCCGCCCCATGACATCAAATCCTCCTGTCCGTTCCATGTCCCGGCAGTCACACCGCCGTCCTTCATTCCCGGTTCTACCTGCCCTGAATGAGAACTCAGTCACTTCGATCCCTCCCCGAAGACCATCTCTCCCCTCCCCACAATCACAAACCAAGCCCGCTACTCAGCGACCCCTACAGGCACCTCCTCGTGTGCAGTATCCCTGGTCTCCACAGGGACGCACTTTCGAGACGGCAATTGCACCCCTTTCCGCTGCTACTCCTATCAGCACCACTTCAACTACCTGCTCAAACATGTCGCCTCTTGGAGGCCACACACGTGATGCTGAAGGTGTCTCATACCAGGGGCACATGAAGAAGCGCAAGACCAAGATGCTTCGCCATGAATGGCATGATCACTACGTCACACTCAAGGGCACACGCCTGAATGTGCACAAGGATGCGCAGCAGGTCGACCGTACCCTCGAGTACATCGACATTGACGACTATGCTATTGCCTGCAGCAGCCTGGCGTCGTCCAAGCTCAACGCCGCCTTCAAGGCCATGAGCATCCGCAAGGACAAGCACGCGGCCGGCGACGTCGCCGCATTCAGCTTCCAGCTGATCCCACAGGACAGCAAGGGCGGCGTCAAGCTGCGCAAGCGCGAGAGCGCCCTGCCGTCTAGCTTCTCGTTTTCCTCTGGCCACAGCAGCAACAACGGCAGCACCTCCAGCCTGTCGCCGCCGTCTGACGGCGTCAATGGCACTGGCAAGACCCACCACTTCGCCGTCAAGAGCCGCGACGACCGCATTGACTGGATGCGCGAGCTCATGCTGGCCAAGGCGCTGAAGCAGAAGGGCGAGGGCTTTGAGGTCAGCGTCAACGGCAACATGATCTAATCTGAAATGACGCCGCTCGATATGACCCTGCTCTTATCTATCTATCCCGCCACCTTCTGGCAAATTTCTATAAACAAATGGGTTTGAATGATCCACGTCTTCCTTTCTTTAAGTCACGATGATACCTCGGATTTTTGCAACGCAAGCAAATCTGCCACTTAGTCTTTAGTATATCCTTCTTGTTTTCTCTGTGCATGAGAACCACGCGAGTGGGGATTGATGGGCGTCTTGTCATTGCAACTGGATTGGGATTTGGGGGACAACGGATTTACGGACACAGAAGATATAACCTTGCAAAAAGGCATAGCAATGACCAGCCATGGTCCCATGATACTCACTCATCACACTCCTTATAACGGAGGTTATTCGATAGTTAATTGAACAAAAAGTTAAAGAAGTTTCATCTCGTGCCTCATGTCATCTTGTGATCGTCTTAGCTCAGGCATTCGTTCCAAATGTCTGCCTCATTCAATCCTGCGTCTCACACTTTCTTGAGCCTTGCTTTAGCAGGTTCTTCACGTGCCTCAGGTTGCATTCCTTTTTCACTTCGATAGCTGCAATGGCTTTGTGTTCTGAAATCGGCTAGCTGGTTCAGAAATACTTAATAAGATGCATTATATGCCATTCTGAGCTCTATCGTCTCATATACAATGGTACACCATGATACATTTTTTGGTTCCACAAGTCCCTTTGGATGCCGTCAAGAGCAGAGCATGAGTAGGGTATCCCACCAGACTCGCCGCCTATCTTACAGTCGCGGACCATGACCGTCCCATCTTCTGCCCCGGTTCTAATGCTTTCAAACTCTGGCATCCACCCAGATATCTCTTTACACCCTGAAAGCCGGCTTCGAGATGTTCGCGAGCTCCGTCACGCGGTTCCAGTCGATGGTCTCCCACCACGCCTCGGCGAACGCCCTCTTGCCGCCGTAGCCGCCGGCGCCCATGCCGTAGTCCCGCAGCCACACGTGCTCCCAGGTGTTCAGGCACAGCAGCGGGATGACGTCGATGCCGCCCGGCGCGAGCTTGGTGGTGTCGCGCGAGTTCGACGGCGGGGCGCGCTGCAGCGCGTTCCCTTGCTTGCGGAAGTACTCAGCAACAGCACCGTGGCCCTCGGCGCTGGCGCCGCCCACGGTGTTCATGTCTGTCGCCTGCTGGCGCCAGTGCGCGCCGGGGTATGGGCTGCCGGCCAGGTAGGTGGTGACGATGCGGAAGTTGTCCGATAGTCCGGAGGCGTGGCTGTTGCCGACCTTGACGAGCCACACAAAGCCCGGGCCGAACATGGCGGAGGCGGTCAGCACGAACTCGCGCCGCAGGGTCTCGATGGAGGAGAAGGACGCCTCGAGCCCACGCTTTAGGTGCGCGGGTATCTCGACAGGTGTCGGGGACAGGCCGTCGAAGAAACGAGCGTTGTTGTGTGCCATCGAGGCGTAGTTGAAGATGGGCGCCTCGGCGGGCTCGCGGGCTGTGGCAATCAGGATGGCCTTGGTGTCTTTCCTTTCGTGATCCGTGCCTATAGATAGCTTGTTAGCAAAGCTGTACAAAGTAAGGTGACGGCTTGATATGAAGGTGCCCGTCTGCTGATTCTCAATCCCTCTCTTCAACAGCTATCTCTTCCACAAATATGTACAATCCACCCCGGCATGGATCTCAAGGCAGAAACTAACCTGCTGTGAGAGCATTGAGCTTTTCAAGCGTCAAGGTCATATACTGTGTCCACGCCATGTCGAAGCCCTCTGGCGAGAGAAGCCCCGGTACGCCCTCTCGGAAGTCATATCGGAGCTGAGGAATGTGATGGATCGACCTCTGCAGAGGCGGCCGCACCAGGCCTATCCGTGGTATTCTTATTCTTGGGCGGAACATGGTCTGGTGTGCTGAATTCGATCCTCCCCTGCGGCTCGAATTCGATCATGCGAGCTAAGCTCAACTTTTCTTAAGAAATGGGAGCAACAGTTGCTTAGTCCGTGCGCCCAAATACCTACGGATGGATTTACCATTGGCCGACCACCAGCTATCACGTGCACATCACCAGCAATCTGGAAAGCAAACATTGAAGAGATAATGTATTCAATCAATTGATATTTATGCCATTGATAGCATTTTCTCACATGGCCCGCCTTCCATGATGCAGCCGTGACAGTTCGCCCAAACGCCAGTGCTCTCATACCCAGCTCATGACCCTGACGGACTCGGCTGAACGACGATGACCACTATTAAAGACACGACCATGACCGAAAATGCTACAAGTGACACTAAAATGACGGTTCCTCTGCTTGCAGGAAACTTTCCTTTGATAATCCACTCCTGTCCCTGGAAGTACCTATGGTACCCCAGGAACAAGATCAAAATGCTGATGGCAATGAAAAGAGAGCCCAGAGGCTTGCCCAAGCGACGTAGCTTGTTCTGGCTTGAGGTTTCTTGATCGCCGTCACCCAATAGAGATGTGTTCAGTCTGAAGAGCTGGGTAACAGCAATGCCAATCGAGGCGAATGCCAGTGAAGTCCGGAGCCAAGCCAGGAACGTTCGCTCTATAGATCAGGGTTAGCAAAAGAGTGAAAACCACTTTGAAGCCACAGCAACTCACCCAATGCCAAATGATCCCTCGCTACAGACCCCTTGTTCTCCAGCTCGATAGACTGGAAATTGGCCAAAACCTTCTTCCACCACGGCTTCTTTTCCCGGCGCGATCCGGTTTCGGCAGCACCATCAGCAGTACTAATCTCGTTGTCTTCTCGAGCTTTTCCTCGACTTGCGCCAGACTTCCTTGCTCGCGGGCCTGATGAGCTGGTGCTCTGATAGTTCACAGCCGCCGAGTCACTCGGATTAGGGCCCTTCGTCACTACACCTGGGCCATCGTCTGCACTGTCGTCTAGATCCCGGAAGTCACCCCGTGGCGGTGCTGACTGCGTCCCTAGGAGGGGCTGCATCCGGGGTGAGTACGGCCCGGACGGCATGGTTTCGGCGCGCTCGCGGGCTGTCTGTGAGGGCAAGCCGAGACATCAGCATCAAACAATTACAAAAGGACAAGTCCAAATTCATGAGAACAGATGATCTGCCGAGCATGGGCCCTTCCCCAAGAAAGCTGAAGGGGGAACCTTGGCGGTCTCGGTTGGGGAAAATGTGCACGCGGCACCACTGTGGGGTCATGGGATCCGAGGCTCACATCTAGAATGTCATTTATCCTTTCCTGCCCAGACTGCCTTCTTGTCAACCGGGGAGCAGTCGCAGAACTTCGACCGTCAGTGTTTGTCCGCCGCAATTGAAGAGTCGGGGGCGCGGAGGTTGGAGTGCGGGAGCCATTTTCTGCCATGGCGAAGGCCTCATAATAAGGCAATTGACAATATATACGGCAGCAGTTCAGCGGATCCCAGATCTGCCGTAGCTAACTAGGGCATGGAAGAGCTTGGCTGGTGGCGCATCAGAGCGGGCCAGGTTGCGATGGCATCAGGGACGCCACAGATGCATGCAGAAATGGCGACACGGCATGGGGCAATCCAATCCACCTTCGATCGTCCTGAAGAGAGTGGTGATGTCGGTTTGTCAACGCGGAGTTGGTACAAGCTAAATGGCACTTTGACGTTGGGCCTTGCGAAGCTCTAAGCAGGCGCTAGCAACTGAGCTGCAGGGCTTTGGCGCTAGGCTGGCCATGGCTCATTCCGATAGGGTTAGGCGTTGCCTATTAACGGCTGGGATCAGTGGTCTTGGACGCTGCACAAGCACTGCTTAGAGCGTTGTTCGTCAAATGGCGACATCGCACCTTGCGATGAAGTGATTTGAGCTGCTGAAATGCTGCCAGTCCTGGAAAAAAAGTCGCCCGGCAGTACAACCGAAATGTCGCTCAATTTCCATGCCGAGATACACCTTATTGCGTCATATCATATTACTCTACGACCACTCTGAGCAACATGGTGAGTAGGATCATGATGTCCCTTGAATTAATATAAACTCAATATGTGTTTCTAAGTTGTTCAACTCACTCGAAATAAACTCTTCACACTTCAAGCAGAGGGCAGATTTGTGTATCTGCTATAAAGCAGCCATTCCTAAGAAAAGATGGCAGAACCCAAATTATCGAAGTTATTCGTTATGTTTGCTTAGTCTTGATGTTCTTCCTGAATCATGTTGTTTACTTTCAGTCTACAGTTCTAAGTTGAGTCAAAAAATTCTGCGAGTTGTCAACACATCACCGAATCAATATGGTCAAGAAACAAGACAACGCTGGGCGTGGGCATAGGTTTGCTATCTAAGTGGTGTTGTCTTTTTTTTTTTTTTCCGTCAGTCTTTTCACTTGTCAATCCTCGATGCAACGTCTGGCTATCAGTACCTCTCTGTTTGAGCCAGCAAGATACTCACTCCTCCCATCTATCTGGTTTTCTTTTATCGGTCATCGTAAGTCACCCATGTAGGGGGGTGTGGCTGGGCATATCGCGGATCAAACCCCCATAGGAAGATCTTACACTGGTCGCAGATGCTTGGTGACTGCTGCTGCATCTGAAGAGTCTGCGAGGTGTGGCAAGCACCCCAACGACGTTTGCGTCGACCGAGATTAAGGCGGACGCGCCAACATCGTGCTTTAGCGGTCCAGGTGCGAGCAGGCTGTCCACAATAGGAGCAAATCCGCTGAAAGACCACGAGACGGCACATGGTGATGATACTCGGGACTCGAGATTCAAGGACAGTGAGCTTAGCCCCGTGTTTCTCGAGCTGAAAGGTTCGATAAGGGGCTGACTAGGGTAGGAAGGTTGTAACGAGTTTGATTGAGTCAGGACGACAATTCTATTGTTTATATAGGCAGAGATAGGGTGAACAAGGAAGGCGAGCTGCCGGACATTGTTCCCGCAAAAGTCACTGGTTCTCTTTGAGAAATTCTTGAACTACAAAGAGATATGTAGAATTTAGTTTCCTCTCTTTGTTAATATTTCTCATTATCTAGGCCGCAACATTAGAGCTACCGTCTTCATTTCATTTAGGACGACATCCAATTTATCCACTTCTCAATTACCGTGACCTACCAGCCGTCTTTAAAGTCTAACACTGACACTAAGTAGAGTTGAAAAGGGAGCATGATTTGATTATAGTGCCGTGGTACATTCTTCAAGCAACTCCATACCAGCTTCAATCTGTCTTTTGGAACCACTTACCTCCTTTTAGACCGAAGCCTCCTCAGACAACTTACTCTTTACAGGCTTCCAAGCCAAGTGGCGCGGCACCCTGGAAGCCACTTCTCGAGGACGTACAACCTCATCGCTGTCGGGAGCCTCTCCCAGTTGCCTCCTCTCCTCATCTTCCATCTTGAAGAGAGGCTCACCGCTCTGCTCCCATTCCCAAAACAGTCTGGAGTCCTCGTCATTGCTGATTTCGTAATCGGCATTCATCCAGTTGATCTGGTTCGCGCGGCGCGCGACCCCAGGCACCTTCCGGGCCATGAACGCGCGGGTTTCCGGCTTGCAGCGCAGCAGAGCGAGAATGACGTCCACCGGCTTGTAGTGCGGCGGACACCCGCAGAGAGCGTACAGCTCGCGAACTCGGGCCATGCCGTCTGCGGAGTAGAAGGGGTAGAAGGCAGCCAGGCAATACAGACGCGGGACGAGACGACGGCCACTATCGGGTTCGTCGAAGTAGATGTCTCGTGACAACCGGTGCGAAGCGGTTCCGGGCATCGGTCCGCCTGGCGGTGAGTCGAGGGGTGGTGAACCGGGCGGGACGTAGAGGGAGCTCCAAGGTTTGTAAGCCGCACTGTTTTGACCACGGCTGGGATAGCGGCATAAGGGCACGTAGTCGTCGTCGCTGTAGTCGTCTTGTTGCTCGTTATCGTAGTTCGACTTCTCACTTGAGTTTATGGAAGCGGTCTCCTGATCGTCTGTGTCCACCATTCGTGCTTTTTGAAAACTTACCTTTTCTGCCACGAAGCAAGCAGATTTCTGCTGGAGATCATAGACCCTGTCCATGAACTCCTGACCATCATCCGAGTCGATGGACGAGTCGTCCTCGTCGTCGGACTCATCATCCGTCAGCGAGGAAGAGAAGGGCCATCTCGGCTCGACACTAGTTGAGCTCTCTCCGTTCCCAGCTCTCCAACTCGGCCAACGACTTGTTGACGTTTGGTTACGCTCGTCTTCGCGCTCGCGCGCCACCTGGAGAATGCGGGCGCGCAAGTTCTGAGTCGTCGGCGGAGGAGGTCGACCGATGTTACAGCCTTCAGACATTCCGCACGTTGACATGTGGCCCTGACACTTACCAAGCTTGATGTCAGACTTGGCTTGTGTCTCACCAGACGTGCGAGGAGAGCCAGGAGCAGGACCACTCCCACTGGCAGAGGCTTGCTTGCGCCAGGGCCACGAGAAGTTCCTCGTGTCCTCCCGTAAGTTGCTTGCCGCCGCGTCCCGCTCAGCGAGCAGTTCGGCAACGCTTTGGGGGCCTGGGTCTCGCAGCCATCTGTGCGTGGCGCTCGTGCCGGTGACTTGAGGCGCGGAGATTGCAAGTCGAGCAGCGCGGTCGCGCTCTTGGAGGATCTCGCGGAGTGCTTCCACCTCGCCTCGTATGTACCGGAGGACGGCTCGCTGACCCCGGGTCTTCGGGCGGAAGAAGGTGGAGAGGGCGTCCGGGCCGAGACGATAGAACTCCATGTTGTGGACGAGGAGTGTTAGAACGTCCGTTGGACTGTTGGGAGGAGGACAAGGCTCGTCCTTCTCGAAATCATCATCATCGTCGTCAGTAGCAGGGGACTTACCTTTTCCCTTTCCCTGTTGAATATGCTCCGACTGTGAAAAGGAGCCGTTGCTCCCTGTTTCTGCTTCGAGACTTGCGCGCCTCAGGGCACCGTTCTCGATCACCCAGAGACTCTCACGACAACTTTGGTTAGAGAGGGACTTGGAAGAAATGTTAGCATTTGGCCGCCCTTGATGGTTCTCAGATGTCGTGCTGCTGCCCCAGTTGAACGGTGACGCCCAGCGTCTGAGTGTGGGAAAGGGCATCGGCATTGTAGGGGTGCCTGTGAGGAACTTTTGACCACGATTCAGCCAATTGAGTGTATGAGGCAGCCCCTAAGCTCTACGCTCTGGTGGTATCGATGGTGATGGATGACCAGACGAGCTTCTGATAGACAGGCGCAAGTGGAAGAAAGTCCAAGTTGTGCAAAACGGCAGGAGGGAGGAAACTTAAGAACATGTCTTGAAACGGCCCTTGACATAATGCCTTTGTGCATTTGAACAACGAATATCTTAGACAAGAGTCTTACACAAGCTGATGGGCAGGAATATCGGTCTAAAGGTGAACCAAACGGACAAAGAGACCGTTGGCGATGGGATCTAAATTTATGAACGCGCCTTTCTTCTAGGATAACAATGTCTAGTTGTCTCAACTTCTTTGCACAAAGATAGCCGAACAATGCTATTCCTCCGAGGAAGTTCTATATATCTCGGGAGGGCGCCATCCGCGGAGCCAAGCGATGCTCTCCTGAACGAAGCCGCATAGACTTTTGGTGCCGGTACAAATCCAAGTTCAACGAACCCACCACCAAGACAAACAACTTCCTTACCAGAACGACGACACAGAATGTGCACAGAAACGAACATCTGGAGCTGTCTGCATTTGAAGCGGCAGTACATCACTTGTCCCAAAGTCGCTAAGGAGAGGCAGCGCGCTCGTTCCCGATGCTTCTACCTCTGGCCGGTAGAGCCACGTGACGTCTGCAATAGGGGCAGGACACACCACCATAACTACCCGTGCCCCCAGTGCGCGGACAAGGCTCGGCGGCAGGAGCGCGACGAGAGACGGGAGGCACGACGCCTGGCACGGCGGGCAGTATCGCAGCAGCACTGGGAGCAAGCCTCCTTGCTGGGAATCACCACGCTGCTACCGCCGCCTCCAAAGGAATACCGCGGGAGGGAGTGTGGTAATGATGACAGAAGAGGTAAGTCTGGCCCCGGTGACAGCTACATCGAGCCAGAACTGTATGGGCAGGCAATGAGTCACTTGCCGCCAGGAGACTTTGCCGAGTATCTCAGACCACCGCCTATGCCTCCAACGCCGTCTTTACAAGGAAGGAGGAGGGAGCGGCCCCCTCCTCTAAGGACTAAGTCACTCGGTAGGGAATTGACTGGATACAGCGCTGTGCTAGTACCTGTATCACCAGTCTCACCGGGCGAGGGACAGGCACCGGATGTCAGTCCAATACGCCCGGCAGAGAAATCCCTCTATGACTCTAGGAGATCCAAGCAGGTGGGTGAGCACTGGCGAAATGCTGGATACGAGTAAGCTCGTGTCTAAACCCGCATGGTAACTCGAGGACATGGATGGACTAGATCAGGATCTTGACCATCCAACAAAGACTCACTCCAATGACAAAGGTCATTGTAGTTACAACAGATTGAAAGATGAAATACTTGCACTAGCAAGCTTTGTGGAGGTAGGGACTCTGTAGTTGCCCATTTGGCACTTTCACATGACAGAATAGACTGAAAATCGGAAAGATGATAATATCCCCTAACCCGGCAACATTTGCCGTTTGGCACCCCAGCATGAAGTTTTGTGTAACTGCGCCGTAAATTTGATGATGAATGCTGGTCGTAACCAATTGAAAATCAGTTGCCTGATCTCGACCATCCTGACGCGCTAGCCGTGATCTCCCTCAGATATCGTAAAGTGCGATTCACCTGAGAGCGGCACGGAAATGCTGGTACCTGATTTTGAGGGGCTCACCTGCGACGCCGAGATCTGCAAGAAATCGATCTGGCCTCGCACCGCGCCGGCGAGAGGTCCCAAGACGGGGAAAGTGGTGCAGAAATGTCGCAGCCTGAGCGATACTATGATTACCAGGCAGTTGTTTGAGGCACCTTTAGGGTCTGTCGACTCACAGGCTCCCAATTCTTTGGCTCGTGTATGGTCGGTGCTTTAGGTGCTGGTGGGGTGCTCGTGTGTAGGGCTGATAAGACATGCGTATTGGGCGTACGTGTCCTTGGTTGCAAGGACTCTCGGCGGATGACGGGCACTGACAGATGCGGAGACTTCCCTTGTGCTTGTCTCGGGCGAATCGGTTGGGAGACAGATGACGAGGCACAGTGTAAGCTTGTTTCCAGCAAGGTTGGAACTAAACTACCTTAATCGTGGGTGGGCACCTTTAGGCCTCACGCCGTATCGACTCGCTTCTTCTAGGACTTGGTGAGGGATTCATGCAGGGGTAACCTGCCGATTTGTCCACTCGCATGCCATCTCAACGTTCGACGCGGCCGTTTATGAGAGAAACCACCACCTGAGCAGCCCATTCAGGTGGAGTTACGCATCACGTCCTGTTCCCAGGACTGGCTGCATGGGGGATGAACGCAAGTCTGACACTAGCCAAGCGAAGACACGCACGCCCCATTACTGTAATTGAGAGAATACGGGAAATCGATGACGGAAGCGTCACTATTTTGGTGCTATGTAACGATAGAATTGCGTTACGATGATTTCTTAGTCCTGCTTCGGATTGGAAGGATTCAAGATGAACAAAGCCAACATATCCTCATGAGGTGTCAACGCGCAATCCATGATTGCCAAGGAGTAGATCGTCAATATAGTAGGAAGTTTGCGGTGACGAAGATGGCGAATACTCAGTTGGTCGACAGACCAGAATCCATAGCATGATCTACTCGTAAATAACGGGGCGCTCTACGAGCGACTGATGGAATGAAAAGGAACGCTGCTTGCGTGGGCAAACGCGAGGCTGCACGGAACGGACGGGAGAGGAAAGAGAAGGGGCGGCGTGCCACTCGGAGGGCCGAATGAAAGAAGCGCGAGCCACACCACCTTGCCCATCGTAGGAATGGCAATTGAGAAGAGTCTGTCTGGTTGAGATTAACCGCCGCCGTGCGCCCGCAAGAGAGCGAGCGACGTCACAATTGGGCACACAACAGCTGTCAATCGTATCGGCAATATGCGCGCCTGTCCGTACGAAACTGCTGGGCCTCAGTGATGCATCCTTAATACATCTGATAAAGGCTCAAAACGGCGTTGATCCGGCCTGGGAAGGGGTCAGTTGCTGTGTTTGTGGTGAGTCTATTGGACGGGCCAAGTGCGATGGTTTGCAGGACTGCAGTTTCCGCTGGTGGCTCAGTCATAGGGTCGCTTGGATGGCCTGAGTTGACTGGCCGGACGGGGATCCTCGTGGGGCGGTAGCTGAGGCTGATGAGTCTAAATGAGATAATGAGGGTAATGAGGGCAAAAAAGAACAGCGCAATCTCTCGGGTTTGGGAAGGAATCGGCTCACTCGGACGAGTCGGACGAGGATCCCGGAGACTTTTCAGTGGTCTGTGTGACGGAGCTTGGAAGCCAAAGGAGGCCAAAAGACACATTCTCTCAGAGTCTGGGTCTGACGGAGGCGGGAGGAACGGGGAACAACGGGGAACGGTGAGTCTAACAGCCCTCGTGAGCCCCTCCGCTGGGCTGATTAATTCAGGTCCTGGAAGCATCCATCCAATAGCCTACGTCGTACCGCCCGTTGGTTCGCAGAGCAGTTCGAGCAAGCCACACCGGTGAACCAACGAGTGCGAGCAACCCTGTAGGGGGCAGTTTCCAGTGATTGAATGAACCGTAGGAGGGTTCTAGGACACTCAAAGAAGAGCCCGTCTCTTGGTTTGGTGGGTTGTCGTATCATCGCGTCTGACAATGGATTGCAATGGTGAAATTCCACAATTCCCTTTCTGAAGATTCCTCCAAGGTTGTGTTTGTAAGCCGCTGTAGGCTCTGTCGTCCCTTCCCGCCACTTGAACTATCCACGTCTCTCAGGAATCCGTCCTTGCAGAGATTGTGACGACAGATGCACTGAGGTTATTCTAGTTTGTCTGAGACGGTTGATGTCAGCTACGTAGATAGAAAAACACACCGTATCAAGATTAAGAAAATGTGTCTGCCTCTGCTAATTCAAGAGCCCCCGCCCGTCTCGCTGGCTGAGAAGGGCAGGACGTGTTCGCGACTGTCGAGATTCGTCTTCTGATCCTAAGTACTCGGTACTCGGGATCCGGAGATTGAGAGCGCAATCGACCTGTGGGATCTTGGGGAGTTTGCTATGCGAGTACATATCGTGTCCGACAAGGTGCAGATGAGGGTCGAGGCTGTGCTTGGGATGGCGATTGGGCAGGACAGGCATGAGGAGCCACCCAGAGCCGCAATGATCACACAGCTTGAGGGTTGCTCCTGCCGCAAAGAGCCCGCGCAGGACGGGGATGAGCAATTGCCAGAGCGCACTTGAGCAGGTCTGCGGCCAGCAGCCATCGAGGTTGCGTGCTAACAGCGAGGCAGAGAACGGGCGATGTCACTGTACGTTGCTATAAGCGGGATAGCTGGCAGGGGTGGCTCGAGCCATCGCAGGATCCTAGTGTGCGGCGGAGCCTGGAGGGGCCCCACAATTCCAGGCAGAAGCCCATCAACGATCCAAAATGGTCACCTCAACTCGCGCTGTCTGTCTCGTTCTCTCTCATCATCATTCTCATCTCTCTCGTCCTCCTCGACTGCTGCTGCTGCTGCTATCTCATCCTCCTTGTTATTGTTGTCATCCATCTATCGTCGGACTGACTGACTGAGGCCGCCGCTTTTTCTTCTTTCTCTTTGCTTTCTGCCTGACTGCTTCCATCCCCTTCAGCGAAACGGAGACCGGCGAAAGGCCTGTGCCTCTATAATCACCCGTCTACCCGCAGACCATCGCCCACCACCCTCCATCACCACCTACCGTCGCTTTGTTGTCTGTTCCTCAGCCTTCTGTTCGCGTTCACTGTGGCATGTCTCCGTGAAACGCACCTTGACACGCGCTTGGAACTGTCACCGAGTGCCTCTTCATCCTCACGCTGATCACCGGTGTCGAAACGGCCTCGGGGTGCTTCCTGCCTGACTGACCTCCGGGATCTCATCTCCTCATCCCCGAATCGTCAACCAACAGGACTCATCTCGGTGAGAGGAAAGACAAGACACGCTGTCCCATCCCATCCCACTCTGCCACCAACCCCACTCGCCCCCCGTCTAGGACACAGACGGTTCGCCAGAAAGTAAGAGCATCTCTCCTATCTCTCTCTTCTTCCCGCCTCAAAGACACTTGTGACGGGTTTCTTCTTCCCCACGACAAGTGGATTGGCCAGTACATACCCCCTAAGTGTCGTCACGGTCGGATCTAGAGCATACTTTCCTGCATTGGTGGCCTGGGGTTCTTGTGACTCACACCACCTATCAGTAACTCAGCCTTATATGCAGAGAGCATACACTGACCCAAGACAGTCGACACGGTTTCCCGTCCACTTAACATCATAAAGACCTGGGTCCACCCCACACTTGTCGACTCAACATGAACCCTCGCAGGACTTCTCCGGTGACTCGTCCGGACTCTACCTCTGGAAATGGTCTCGTCCTTAAGACCAACATGATCCTCCGGAAGGGTGCTACCTTCCATTCTCCCACCAGTCCCTCTTCATCCGAGTCGATCCCGTTCAGACCGCCACCACTACCACGCCGCTCCCAGACCAGCTTGGACGATGTCGTCGATGCTCATCGTCGCCGAGTCGCACTAACTCTTGGTAACATCGACAAGACCCTCTCTGCTGCTACTGGGTCATCGTCGTCGTCCCGCAAGACCTTCAGGGACGACAGTCTCCCCATCCCAAGAGGATTCCTCGACCACACCATCACCATGACGAAAGACGCAGAGACCGAGCGACGCGTTCTGCGTCCTCGGTCCAACCGTCGAGCGTCCCGATGCCACGAATCAGACAGTGGCCTGGGGACCTCGATCGCGACGTCGACGGAGAAGCGTGCTGCCGACGCCAACGTGAAGAAGGAGAAGACTTCCGTCAAGGCCACGGCTATAACTAGGTCTGCTGCCGCCGCTTCCTCCGTCCTCCCTGGCCTCAGCTCTCGCGCCACAAACCGAATCATCGAGCACACACTGAAGCCTCTTCTGGCAAAGCCGTCATTGAAGACTTTCCATCCCCTTGTGCTTGACTGTCCCAGACGCATCCAAGAGAAAGAGATTCTTTGTCTCAGAGATCTCGAGAAGACACTACTACTAATTGCTCCGGTGAGTGACTTGAAGAATGATCTAGGCGTTCGGGGAAATACTTACAGGGCCTTGTGTTTAAAGGAGAGGACCAAAGTTGCCGGCTTGTACCTCGACTTCTGCCTAACAACAATCCGGTGCATCCAAGCAACTGTTGAGTACCTCAGCGACCGAGAGCAAACTCGACCTCGCGATCTCCCTTACACCAGCGGCTACTTCATTGACCTTGTCGACCAAATCCGGCAATACGCCCAACAACTTGCTGACGCTAAGGAAAAGGAGACCACGGGAGACGAGATGGATGTTGATCCGTATGCACTACTCCCAACTCATCTCTACTTGGACAGTGCTAACTCCTACTATAGAACTGATGAGGTCAAGCTTCACGGCGGCATTCACATCAATGGCCGCCCGGCTGAGCTTGTCCGGGTGAAGAAGAACGGTAAGGCCATTTCTATGGCCACTGGTGAACCCGTTGAGATTGAAGAGGAGGCCAAAGGCCCCATCAAGATCAAGCGGTCTGCTAGCGAGGAGCTCGAAGACGAGGAAGAAATCATGCGCTCCATGGCGCGACGAAAGAAGAATGCCACCCCAGAGGAGTTGGCTCCCAAGAAGTGCCGCGAGCCCGGTTGCAACAAGGAGTTCAAACGGCCCTGTGACTTAACCAAGCACGAGAAGACTCACTCTCGCCCTTGGAAGTGCCCCGTTCCAACTTGCAAGTATCATGAATACGGCTGGCCCACCGAAAAGGAGATGGATCGTCACCATAATGACAAACACTCGTCTGCCCCACCCATGTATGAGTGCCTGTACAAGCCGTGCCCATACAAATCAAAGCGGGAGTCCAACTGCAAACAGCACATGGAGAAGGCTCACGGCTGGACCTATGTCAGGACAAAGACAAACGGCAAGAAGTCTGTCGGCAAACCTGACAGCACTGCTCAGCCCACTCCTCTGCTGCAAAATATCCCTACTCCCATCAGCGACAACAGCATTGGGATTGCCACGCCACCAGAAGACCAATTCGGTCGGATCTACCCACCAACCAACTTCGACTTCCCTACCTACGTGCCAGAGGACCCGTTCCATGCATTCAATATTCCGCAGGAGCTTCAGTTGGACTACTCTCCGATTGACAATGCTACTCCCTCTACAGACACTAGCATGGATCACAGCACAACGTATCAGGACAATTCTACAGACTACACTGCCTGGGAAGACATCTACAGCGCCAACACTGTTCAGGTGCCTACTCCTCCTTTCAATAAGGAAATCGCTCAGCAGTTTGCTGCCTTCACTGAGGCGGAACTCGGCCATCCCCAGCCGGCTCCGCATATTTCACCCATCGGTCAGGGCAATGCAATGCTCTTCACCCCAGCATCGCTGGCTGAGGTAGATGAGGGCTTTGAGGAGTTCCCCGCCAATGGATCTGGCGGCGACTTCCTCCTGTTCCCACCAGCCGAGAACAAGTCCCTCACATATGATCAGGCACTGTTTGGCGAGATTCCCAGCGTTGCTGCCGGCTATTCCCAGCCATCCTCCCAGGACTTCATGCCTATGGATTGGACCACCAATGGCTACAGCGGCTACGATTCGCAGCATTAGCTGCGTGGCGTTGGGGGCCACAGTTGGTCTCGTTGGGACGGTGGCAGCAGTACATCCAATCAGCAGGCCTGCACACACGATGCTTGACTGCCGGTTCTTTTCGAGTCTGACTCATACGGTAGCACTTGGCATGATTCTTACGACTTACACTTTGAGGAGGTCACAGACACGTTTATGATTTGATGAAGTGGGGAAGAGCGTTGAAAAAAGAGAGTTGTTGTGTATGTGTGGAAGTCCTTATCTAGGAAGCCAGATTGACACAGCACGTCGAGATGTACCATTCTTGTCTTTGTAACAAGCGTTTATTTCTCTCTCCATTACCACAACCCCTTGCTTATTTGGATGTGCTTCTCTTCATCCCCTTCTCTATCTCTTCCGACGTGACGGGAAATTGTTTGGGGCCAAGAAGATACTTTTTGCATGCAGCTAGGCAAGCTAGGTAGCTGCTCTCTTCAGTCTTCGTGACTAGGTAATCTGGGACATGGAAATTTAGGTAGACCATCTTCTCACAATGAATGAGATTTCAGAACACACACAAAACCAATTGGCGCCCTCCAAGAAATCAAAGGTGATACGATCATAATGCAGCTTTCTCCATGCATTCCTGAGCATTTAGAGGAGGCAGTGCTTGGAGCACAGCCAGTGCTAGCAGTACTACTGGTCGAGCAATATGCGGCCAGCTGCAAGCCACGGAAACTGACGGCTTGTCTCAGTGGAAGGAAAGCGGGCAACCCCAGCTATCCCCTCGTCACGTGATGGCGGCTGGTAGAACCTTACGCCAAAAAATTTGCTGCCCAGAGCCTCCAACTCAAGCTTTGCTATCAAAACCACGCCCAAGACAGAGAGTCCTGCAGGCACAGCCATGATTATGGTTCCTCTTACGATGCAGGTCCCTATAGACTAGTGCTAACCCGCAGGAAGACGAGGTCGGCAGTTTATCTTTCTGCCTGATCACGAGTCTGATCCATTGGACCTCGTCCTCCCAATCACGAAGATGAGCTCACAACGTTGCCCTGATGAGTGAGGCATCCTGCGTTCTCCGCTTCTGGCTTCCTTGAGCCGCCTCTTTTCTCGCCTTCCCTCGGTAAGCTTCCCTTATTCCCCTATGTCTAGTCTGCGCCCAATCGCCCGGTCCGCCAATGATCTCGCAAATCTCCCCTTCTCCCACTTCTTCCGATATGATGAGTTTCTTTCAAACCCTTCTACTCAGTAATAGGAAGAGCCGTCTGAGACCCGTCCTCGGGGGCACTGCCCAGATTTCTCTCTTTCAAGGGCGAACCTGGGCAACCCCCCTCGGCCGTCTCCGTCTGTCCTGTGTCCTGGGAGTCCGCTTGCTTCTCATGCATGGCGCGCTGCATCGTCATATGCTGCTGCGGGGGCTGTGAGGGATGGGCGGATAGGGACGGTGGGGATGAGTAGTGCTTTGAAATGGGGTTTCTGATGGAAGAAGTTCGGGTTGATGGAGTTTGCCTGTTTGCATCGACATTGGCGGTTGCCTTGGGCTCTCTTTTTGTGAGAATGTGCTGATGCCCGGAGTACAGGAACTTTCCCAGCTGTCGTGAAGGCGTCGAGATCTGAGGCAAGACGTGGGGGTGGGCGAAGGCGGAGGTAAGTGCTGCCTGAGAACCTAGCAAGCCAGATGAGTATGGTTACGACCCGCCTGCTCATTTCAGAGCCTCTTACACAACTCGGTGATCCTCCAAAGTATCTCGTGGTGCTCTAGTTTTGATAGCATGCGTACTCGGACATCTTTTGCCATTCAGCTGCTCATTTGGTGGCCATGGTGCAAACTTTCATCTATACTATATCATCGTTGATTTGCTGTTGTGCACTATCTCAACGCTGATTGTATGTGGCATTACTGGGGAGTCGAGTCGATTCCTATCTCAAGTGTAACAGTCACGAGACAGCCTTTTCTTCGAAGATAGTCTCAAGCCGACATGGGAAAGCCAGCACATAATTCACAAGCATACAGAAGCCAGTCATGCTAAAGTCACAAGTTTATTGTGATTGTTGAGGATGTCTATCCTGCTTTATTACATCGTAGCTGCACTTTAGAGTTGAGCTCGACCCCTCAAGTCCACCTGAAAGTAGCCTTCCTAAATTGTACAAACGGCAACACACTCAAGTCGAGACACATTTACCGTGCTTTGTATCTGAAATTGTTGAGAACGGGCCCCCATCTAGTCTACCTCTTCAATATCCAGCTTCCCACTTCATTTCCGGAATGTGGCGGTAGGACATTGCGCTTATTCCATACAGAAGCTGGATATGACAAGGACTTGAAGCTGTTCGAAACCACAATCAGTACCAACTCTATCAGACAAAGGGATCTCCAGCAAAATGAGAAACGAAAGTAGCATACCGGCATCAGAATATCTTTGCCTCCCTTAGTCCTTTCGCGGCTCCTCCGGCTTGGACTGCTGCTCCTCCTTCTTGGCACCTCCCATGAAGCCAGCAGCAATGTCCTTTCCAATGCCGGCATAGTCCTGCTTGTTGTCCTCGCTCGAGTAGGCGTCATACGCCTTCTTGGCCACCTTGCCAATCTCCGCATAGTCGGGCTTCTCGCCCTTGGCCTGGTCGCCCTGGAAGTCACCCAGCGCCTGTTTGACGGAGCTGCCGACGTCTGACCACTTCTGCTCGTCGGTCTGCTGCTGCTGCTGGTCCTGCTTCTGGTCGTTCTGGCCGCCGACGGCGTCCTTGACACCGGACATGATCTTGTTGAAGTCCATTTCGTAAGGAGGGGGAAATTTATAAAGGTATTAGAGTTGATGAATAGTAGAGCTGTGAAGAGCAGATAGGCTGGAGTTATAACAAAAGGGTATCTTTGGAAGCAGGCGAAAGGCTAGGTGATCACGATAAATTCAAATACGCCGGGAAGAGTGCCGTCATTGCCCTTCTTATATCGCTCTCGTCGACGCGAACCCCTCCCAAAGCCATCTCGGCGGCTTCAATGGCGGGGACCACTATCACGCCCGAAATGAGAATAAGCGTAAATTGGCGCTGCAGCATTGTGGCTCATGTGGTAGTTGCTCACATTCGGCAGCCGTGAGGGGTCTTTCTCCCTCTCTTGATCAGGCATGCGGGTCCCCTATCTCTCGATGGCTGCATATTTTCCAGCTCTGCAGGGATCATAGCTGCAGCTGTGGCTCGCTCAGGTGGTGATGGGTCCGCGGGTGTCTTAGATTCGGCTCCGCCGAACGGCCGGCTAGCAACCGGGCGCCCGGCTCGGATGGGAATAGTGGCATCTGTGCCCAGAAAGAAACCCCTCACTGCGAAGCATCAGGGTCTTGCTGCATGTGAAGTGCACCAGGAGACGAAGGCGAAAGATAAGGCGTGCAGTGCAATATTCATCACTGCTATTCGCTGCTTTTTTTGATGTATATGAATTTAGCTTATAGACGATACTTGTATTCGGGTTTGATTATTTACGAGACACATCCTGTCTTCTTTGCATGTACATGAAGACCACTGTCTTGCCTTACGCTACATCCTTCCACACGCCGGTCATTTCAACAACCAAATTGACGACGGTACTAATGGTCCAAATGGTGATGAGCCCCCACCCGATCTTTCGGCTCATGACCCACTTGTTCGAGGGCACGACGATGAGTAGTACGATGAGGGTGATGAGAACCGTGATGGCCGAGATCAAGAGCGTGCCGCCGACTTCGATGTGGTAAGGCTTGTATTTGATCGGCTTGTGCGGGTGTTGGGCGTGTTTCTTGTTCGCCGCCTGTGTTGTCATCCAGGCACCTCCAATGCCGATACCAAGAAGAATATTAAGCATTGGCCCTCCAAAGCATGCCGACCTGCGAGATGTTAGCGAGAATCATGCCAAAGGGATCTGAAGTTTTCTTTTGACATACAGTGCCATGACTGGATAGCCTAAGCGGGCAACCGTGACATCAGCCACCAAGTCACCCAGTGAGTTTCCAACCGCGAAGATGGTGAGGCCCAGGATAGCCTCGGAAATGCCCAAGATGACACCGAAAGCCTTGAGTACACCAACGACTTCTCCTGCAACCGTTGAAATCCAAGCAACACTAATAATGAACCCAAGGAAGCAGAGAAGGAAATGATACTTTGGTTTCCGGTCCTCCGAGGTCGTCAAGAGCAAGATGCCTAGCAAAATGAGCGATGCGAGTAGTGAGCAAAGGATCATCTTTATGAGCAGCCTCCCGGGATCTTCCAACCCCTCTTGCATATTAGCCCATATAATACAGACGGTGAAGAGTGGTCCAGTGAAAACCTGCAGCGCGACCAACCACCTGTTCCAGCTCACAGGCTCATCTCTCTCAGTGGAGTCTGAAGCAACGCCAGGTGCAGGTTTCACCGGTTGAGCCTGGACGGCAGAGTCCGGAGCGGCGATCTCGATGGAAGGTCGACGCAAGTCGTCGGATGAGTCGATAGCAATCAGAGCAGGCGAGGATGTATTAGTTGACCTACGGGATCTGACTGACCGCGTACTTCTTCGATACTCCTGCCATTCCGTTTCTGGCTCAAGTGAGGCATGGCGTTCAACCGCAACAGGTGGTGCAGTATGACCAATATCGCCAGTAGCAGGGGGATCAACGATGCCCTCATCAGATTCGTCGTCGTTCGACTCTGTTTCCACGACGGGCAAGGTAGTAACAAGAAGGAAGATGCTGGGAACTGAAACCAAGCTGACGAATTTGTCCCATATAGACTTCTCTCTCCAGGCCTGCAGCGTTGGAAATAGCGTTCCCAGGAGGACATGAGGAGGAGGCAGGATGCCATATGGCCACCACCTCACAGGTTTCGGGGAATGATCATCATGACCCAGCTCAGCGATGCTATTCGTATCACGATGTGTCACGGAATTTGGCAACATGAAGTTAGACTCTTCAATGTGAGGGCCAACGTGTGGGGTGACAGGCATGGGGGATTCGGTGAGTCCCGGGAATGGGGACATTGCCGGTGAAGATGTCTGGCTGGCTCGCGACGTAGGGCTGGGAATCTGTAGCTGGAGCTGCTTGGGTGAGCTGGGTTGCTGTTCACCAAAGTCGGGTAGGAGTAGAGGAGGTCCTCCTTCTGTATGAGGTGGAGCAAGCCTGCCATCCTTTAGAGATGTGGACGGGCTGGAAGTCCTCGCCGCAGGGTGCTGGAGGTGACTGCTCGTCAAGTTCTCCGGAACATCTCCGGTTGACAGGGCACGATCTCTGTAAGTCGAGGGAGGTGGATATGTAGAAGGGTCCAGCGATGCCGTATCCAATAATCTTCCAGGCGTTGAAGTAGATGCTGATACGGAGTCACCATACGTTCTCTGATAGTCCGAGTAGCTGCGATTTAAGGGCGCCAATCGCATGTTCCGTGCCTTCTGCAGCGATGAGAGCACCGATCTGAACTCAAGAGCTCCGACTAGACTGGGCCGGATGGGAGTTATGGTCGTGTTACTTCTCCTTCCGCGAGCACGATTCACTCGCATGCTGCTCGTCATTTCTGCAGCAACATGCCTCTCTCGGTCTTCGTCCTCTGCTAGCGGGCTGAGCGGTCCATCCACCTCGATTCTTGGCCCGGCTTCCAAGGCGTCAATGTCAGCATCATCGGCTGTGCTCCGACGTCGGCCGACTGTTGCATCTCCATCTTCTTCCTCCTCATCTCGGTATGGCTCAAGCTCATCTGAAGGTTGACCAGGAGCACCAAAGTAGTGACCACGCGACGCTGCCTCTCGAGCTCTCTTCCGTTGCCTTCTGGTCGAGAACCAATGCCATCCGACCACGACAATGACGTAAAATATGTAGAAACCAATCATGAGTAGACATTCCCATAGCAGCAGCTTCCCGTCCGCCAAGAAGACCATCGTGAAACTCACTGCAGCAATAAAGAAGCAAATATCCCGCACGAATGTCTTCTTGCTCACTTTGAACTCTCGAACCAGGGCCATAGACCCGGCGACGACGGCAGTGATGAAACCAGCTGCTCCTATCAGCTCGCCTACGGCCATGCTGCCGCTGTTAGAGCTCATGGCGGCGAAAGTGCTGAAGACATCCGGCGAGCCATTGCCGAAAGCGAGGAACGTCACCCCCGCAAGACTCTCGCTAAGGCCAAGAATACTCGCAATGGTGCTGAGATTGACACTGAAGAAGTCGCTCGCAGCTATGCCAATTGTAGTGAATAACAGACCAAGCCAGATGACCATGATAATGAAAGCGACGGGCTGAGCATGTTGCAGCGTGCAGTAGTAGAACGTCAAATATTGGATGAGCCCGGCCTCGTCATCATCGCAATTGGCCCTGATGAATGCGCACTTGTCAGCTGCATGGTGGACTTCCCGACAATCCTCATCTTGAGCTCTCGCCCGGAGCGGTGACTGAAGCGGCGCATCCGGCGCATCGGCTCTTTTCAAAAAGAGCGCGTAGACGGTGATCAGAGTGATGAGAAGGACTGATGTGTAGAACGGCCTCGAGCTATACTTGGGGCGTCCTCCGCCTCTTCTCGACATGGCGTTGGGCATCTTGTTTCGAGGTCCTTGCTACCAACTGCATCATACAGATATCATCATGTGGCGTGAATAAAAGCTGCTGATCAGAAATGATACTGCAAAACGCTAGGTACGATATGAGCGTCGACTTTATGTGAGTCCGACTAAGTTGCCCTCACAGCTCGCTATGACACCGAGAGCGATATAACGAAGGTGTTGTTGGACAGGCACGATGATATCATGCCATTGAACATGTCACAGCTGCCCTGATTGATAACTGTTGGACGTTGCGTATCCAATCCTCCCAGGCCTCCAATCACCCAAGAAGTGCCTTGAAACCCACTATTCTTTAATTCGTCATGGCGCGTCTTGGCGTTGTAACTCACTGACCAACTCAGCAGCTCCAGTGCTTGATTGACCCCTCCTGTCACCGAGCACGGCGACTCGGAGCTAAGTAGCGCCCGACCTCCCCACGCCAGTCACGTGGCAGCTCCGTTTGTTTACACACTTTCCATTCTGGGACTGGGTTGCTAGCCCAGACACTGCGACGCGAAAACACACGGTCGACAGGACAGGCTGTTGGCGCTCCATCAAACTTCAACCATCACGACAACGCCGACAACGAACGATGCCCCGAGTCGCTCAAGTCCCGCGCGCGAGCAGCGCAAGTAGCAGAAGTGGAAGTCGAGTGAATTCTGGCTCCCTATCACAATCGCCATTCAAGTCGCCCATCAAGTGAGTAAACAAAGGCGCGATGCGATGATAGAGATATGCCCAGAGCTCTTACATTCAATGTTTACAGAATACCGTTGAACGACGACGCACAGGAGAAGGCCGCACGGTTGCATTCGCGCCAGGCTCTCCACGAGAAACAGATCAATCAGCTGAAGGCCGCGGCTTCTACGCCCCTGCGCAAAACCAGCGTCAACCTGAACGACCTCGAGAATGCATCCCCGGGCTCAAACCCGCGCACGCCGCGGGCGCGGCCAAGCGGGAAAGAGAACCTGGCTGATGACGACGATGTGGTCATTGGAGGCAGCGCGGTCACTCCCATGAAGCGTGTCCCTATCTTGGCAAACTTCGAGGAGTGGATGAAGATGGCTACGGACAACAAGATCAACGCTGCGAATTCCTGGAACTTTGCGCTCATTGATTATTTCCATGACATGTCACTGCTGAAAGAGGGAAATGGCGTCAACTTCCAGAAGGCCAGCTGCACGCTCGATGGTTGCGTCAAGATCTACACAAGCAGAGTTGACAGTGTTGCTACCGAGACCGGAAAGCTGCTTAGCGGCTTGGCTGATAGCCGGGATAGCAAGAAGAAGGACAGAGATGGAGAGGAAGGCGAGGGTGAAGACAGTGAGGAAGAAGTCGACGAGGATGGTGTGGTGCGAAAGAAGCCGAAGAAGAAGGCACGTTGCTCTCATCAATTTGTGCTGACGATACGTGACTAACAACCAGAACAGACGCAACGTTCATCAGAAGCCACTTTGGCACCTTCATTCGCCTCGTTACAGCTCAAGAAATTCGAGCTGGAGTTTGCCGTCGATCCTCTGTTCAAGAAGGCTTCTGCAGACTTTGACGAGGGGGGAGCTAAGGGTCTTCTGCTCAACCATTTGATGATCGATTCTCAAGGCCGCATAGTGTTTGATAGCAGTGACGACTCTGGAGACGCTGCTGCAAAACACAAAAAGGCCGAGGAAGACGACGACGCCGAAGAGGGCGAGGATGAGGAGGACGCAGAGGCATCTCTACTCTCGCAAAAGGAAGAGGTCGAAGACGAGGAGGATGTAGAGATCGATATTGGTGCGCTCGGAGCTCGCTTCTTCCCGGAGCTCAACCGTCTCGACGAACTCGATGTCTGCCCGTCTTTGAAGACATTCGATCTTGGAGATCCCTCTGGCTCTATGGACATCCCATTCTTGCGTGCTCCTGAGGACTGGAAAGACCAGGACAAGGACAAGTCTGAGGACGGACCTGGAAACAAGTCTGGTCTGTACATTGACGATGACAATCCGCTCGGATTTGACGACGACGAAGGCCTTGGCACCTTTGATCTGGGTGGCGACGTCGCCTTCGGTGAGGGTGGTGAAGCTTGGGCGCGAGAGGCTGCTCTTGAGCCGCAGATGCGCGTCTTTGATGCTGGTGAAGGGGGCGTTGGTGGAGAAGATGGCGTCGACCCCTTAGATGAGAATGGCGAGTTCGTCGTATCGATGTCTCATGCTCAGAAGTCCGACAAGATGCATGAAGATATCTTGAGCTATTTCGACCAGGCGCTCCAGAAAAACTGGACCAGTGCCGAGCACTGGCGTATACGGAAAATCAAGGATATCAACAAACCGGCTTTGCCAACTCGTACACGCAAGGAAAAGGAGCCGTTCGAGATTGACTTCATGTCACCACTTGATCCATCTCTGGCTGAGGTCATATATACTCAGGCGTCCAGCAACTCAGTGATTTCTTTACCCAAGAAAGATTGGAAGTCCAAGACCCGGAACCTCCTCCCCGACGACAAGCACTTCAACTCCAAGCAGCTACTCACCCTCTTTTTGAAGCCAAAGGCACGTATGGGTAGACGGCGTGGAGGCTTTGGAAGCCGAGGCGGCATCTTCGGCAATGCTGACCAGCGGAACGATGTTCCTGAAGGCGAGATGGATGAGGCGTTCTGGGCATCACAGAAAGCACCAATGCAAAGCACGGAGGGCAATGGCGAGGAGACTGCCCTGCCTCAGGGCGACTACGATGCCAACTTCTTCCAGGATGACGGCCTGCCATTTGCTGGCGGTCTGGATGATGATGACGATATTGACGAGTTCGCAGATGCGCGTGAGCATTTCTCCCCAGGCGCAGATGGTGGCCAGGGAATGGAGACAATTGGCATGACCGGCGCATTCAACGGTCTTACGGTTACGAACCCTGCAGATCTCGCATTTGGTACAATGCTAGTTACACAAAGCAGGAGAGTACGACCCGAGTACGTGCAATACGCACGTGTGGCCAAGAGAGTCGATGTGAGGAGACTCAAGGAGGAGCTCTGGAAATGCATAGGCTTTGAGGGCCTCCAAAAGGTATGCCTCTTTGCGACCAAAAGGACCCCTTTTCTCTGCTTAGTTCTCATACTAATGTTTCATGCAGGACCCTGATAGCTCAAGGCTGCCAACACCTCCGGCAGATGCGACTGAAACTGTCAAGTCGGCGGTAGATGAGCCTACCCTGAAATTCACCAACGTCATGAACAACCTGCAGACGGTCTACCCCCGGTCGATGATGGACGACATCTCAACTAGCTTCTGCTTCATTAGCTTACTACATCTAGCCAACGAGCAGGGTCTTATTATCGAGAAGACGCCGGATCTTACCGAGCTGAACATCCGCAAGGACTGGACGGCAGAGGTTACAGCGGAATAGGCACGGGCACGTAGTGTAAAGGCATCATGTACGGCGTGGATTGTTTTAAGTTGTTTTTTTGTCTTTCCCCTTTGAAAATCTTGGTTGCGGTTTGGGATGGATGGGTATCGCGCCATTCCTCAAAGGAATGGATGTGGCTATGAGTTCTAATGATCCCCTGAATACACACACGTTCTGTTCTATCGTAAATGCTGCCCCAAGTTCCCCGTTCGCACCAGCAACGAGATCTCAGAACTGCCGGGCTTTGAGAAGCAAGAATCAAGGAGGCCGCGGGCGTCCGTTCCTGATTCATGGTTCTCCCTACGTCATCCCGTTGCAAGAAAGGTCGGTAGCGCAGCAGCCTGGCCCCTCTCCCGCCTCGTACATGACTGATGCAAATAATGAGTCTCGTTGCCCTACACGGAGAATGCCATGATCTGATGGGAACGGAGACGAAACTAAGAACCCGTTTTCACTAACTACCCCTCCTCAACTTCTATTTCTCCTTCTCCTTCTTCTCGTCCTTATCCTTCCGGCTTGCTTTCGGCTCCTCGTCGGCCGCTTGCCCCGCCGCCGCCTGCTCGAACGCCGCCAATATATCGTCCAGCTTGCTTTCCAAGTTGGTCAGGTTTGCTTCCAGAGCTGTGGCTGCGCGCTCGCCCCTGTGGTAAGGATCGTGTTAGTGGCCGGTGGCTTCATGACATGCCTGACTCGCGATGGCGGCTTGCGGGCTGCCTGGAGGGAAAAAAAACGTGGCCTTCCTATCTAGCTCACTAGAGCCCGTGATGGCTCAATGGGGTACCAAAGAAGCATAACACTAGTCGCCTCAACAGACCGATACTAGTCGGGCCATTGTGAGTGGCGCTGTTGAGTGCTCAGATGCCTTCCGACTGAGATGTATCGCCCTGTGCGAAAGGGAACATTCGACACAGCTGCGCACGGATTATTTGGAGCGTCTTGAGTCATCCCACATGGCGGTATTTGCCAGGCCATCTTGGCCTGATTCCAGCTGCCCGGCTAAGCATTCGGCCATGAACTACCAGCACGATATACAAAGCAAGTCTACGGATGGCTCCAGTGTCAAAACTAGTGGTGAAAAGATACTCGGAGGAATCGCGGAAAGTGGGCACTGAGCGCAGAACCGGCACCATGCCGTTGCGATCCCTCGACGGGAAGAAGCAGCCACAGTCCACGCACCAAGGCATGTAAGCGTTGTCCTCAAAATCCTCGATAAAGGGAGGGGACCCCGTGCCGTTGCATTCACATCCCACTTGGAACCAATCAGGGAGGAGACCGAGAGCACCAGCTCTGAGACATAGCGACCCTTCACGCGTAATGCCAGTTGCCATATCGAGACGGTGCTGCCAAACCTAATGTCGCCTTATGCAGGAAGTGAGCGAGTTCCCCACAGCAGACAAAGATGGCGTGCCATTGCAAGGCGGTGAGCAATGTCTTTGGCATTTGGCACAGCCTGAAGAGGTAGGCAGTGGACCTCGGATGATGCGGGCTGATAAGATGATCTTGCATGCCTGCCTGTTGGCTCCGGGGCGTCGGGCAACGCTGCGGGCTGTGCTGTGGTATGTCTTGTGGTAGTGATGTAATGCAGCAGATTTGACTCGTAAGAACGCAAACAGCCTGAATACAGAAAGAGGGCTCCCAGGACCAGAGTAGCTAGGCAGCTTGTTCAGGGGAGAGGGCCGAGTGAAGTGAAGTGAGGTAAGGTAAAAAAGAAAAGAGGGGGTAGGTGCGCAAAACAGGGCAACCAGGCCTGTCGTCGCGCCGTGCATAAATTAGGGGTCCAATATGCCGCGTCCAACTAACAGCGTTGTGTTGCGTAGGACGGGCGGGGACCAGTGTCAGAGTCCAACACTTGGCGATTGCTTAGCGCAGCAGTCGATGGTTGACATGACTGGGGTGGCCCCCGAATAAGGTGTCACGCGAGACCCGGAGAGGTACCGAGATTTGAGAAAAAATCATGTCATACCGGGCAAGGTCTCTTAAGGCCTAGACCGCCATTGCGAGAAGCAGTTAGCATATTTTCAACTTTGCATAGGCGACATGGTGGATTTTGCAGTGGGTTCGCAGTGCCAGAGGGAAGTGAGGAAAAGCAAAAAAAGGATGGGGAGTAAAACCGAGCCGTTTCAGGGGTTCACGAAACGGAGCATGGTGAATTGGCACCAATTACGGAAGTCGATCGAGGAACAGGCACCGGATCGGCCATGTCCCATCTCCGGCCCCCGCACTCCTCCGTTTAAGCTTCCTGCGAACACGACCACTACCCTCGCAGAGAGTTGTGTTAAGGCATAGGTATGACGCGACAGTACCACACTGGCAGGGACAAGGCTAGAGAACTGAGCCGGGCTTCCTTGACGTACCTGAGCAAGCTCTGTGTGGGGGGTGCGCGACGATGATGGCGCTGATGAGGCGTTAACGCTATCATGTGAACCTCCGTTCGCCTCAGTGCCCTCCGGACCGTTGCCAGGCGTAGAGCCGGCGGGCGGTCCTTGTGAGGAGGAGGTCATCCTATGATATGAGCAGGAGTAGACGACGAAGAACCGTGCCGTAGTATCGGAGCTGCTAAATCGAGAATAAGAGAAGTAGCTGCTAGCCAGGCCGCGGAGGTGTCGATATCAGAGCTGCAGCCTACTAGATCTTCTGATGGAGAAGTACTACCGACAGATTGAGAGCAAACGGAACGGACTGCTGTGCTACCAATACGATATGTGATTGATGACGCTGGCGGACAAAAATAGGCCGTTCCCGGTTGCGGAGGGGGAAAGCAGGAGACGGCACCGCCAGGTGCGAGGAGAATAGGAATATCGCCAACGGCCCAGAATGCTGTTACAACCTAGCAGAAAACCGATCGCCGACCAGCCAGTCGGGAATCGTAATTTGCCGAGGAAGGGGGGGGACTTCCAAAAAGGAGGATCACAGAAGCAGAGACTTGCGGAGTCGGCGGGAGGGATCATACGATTCATCAATGCATGAGCGTCGCAAGCTTGCAGCGGGTTGGAAAGAGTGTGCCTGAGAATCGCTGCGATGGCGTTGGATCGATACGGAGGGCAGCACGTGTAAGGACAGACGCCGCAGTTTCCGTTAGAACGACCTTGGGACTTTGCCATGATTGGCCGGTTTGTCCAATGTGCTGACTAAGGCAGGCTGTAATAGGCATCTACTGAAAGCTGCGTCTGTGCTTCAAATCTGATCCTGAGAGGATGCCAGAAAGATCAGAATGTGATGTTGTGCAACCCCCTGGGCACATCTCTTCGATGGTGACGTCTTGCGGACGCCCGCCCACACACATATGGCAATGCTGATATCGACCTTCAGAGTCGGATGTCAATTTATGGCATTCTTGACTTTGACACCCTTCGGACTGGCCTAGATGCATCTGGGCCACCACGGAACGAGCACCCTTGTCGGCATCACAAAAAAGGAACCCCAATGCCAGTCCGATCCAATAGGTAGCCCGTTCCTGTGTGACAGGAACTGCACATGGTGTAGTGATCACGATCTGGTGGAGGAAAAGCTCCCGCTGAGACGCTTGCACGACAGTCTCGTCGAATGTGTTGTTAGTACGACGCAGAGTCTGAAGCAGAAAGAGTTCTACAAGGGTGCGTGGCTTCAAGCACGGCCTCTCACCATATTTGCAACCTGATAATCCAGTAGTCTAGGCCAGGAGGGGTGTGTCCATGAGACCATCTCTAAACTCAAGCCATTATAACGCTTATGTAGCCATAGCCTGAAGAGCATGCGGATTCATCAAGGGCGAACGAAGTGTATTATCGTAGCTCTTATCCCGCTTGTGGCGCCGACCGAAGAGGAGGCTGCGGCCCAGGCCTCTGACCATGGAGCACAAGCCGCGGACCGGCCAGCATCTAGCCACGCCAGTCGCCGGGCTGTAGCTATCGTGGAGCTGGGGGTTTAAGAGCTCCTGGATGCCCTGACGAGGTGAAGCTGTCAGCCTGCCGGAAGACTAAGGTAGGAAGGTAGAAGCAGTGAGGCATGTCAAGTTCATGAAATTTGGTAGGATGCAGCGAGCTAAGGGCCGCCAAGACAAACCTTTCGTGTTTGGCCGCGCATACCTACATGATAAATACGCAATCCAGCAGGACGGAGCATGATAAGACACCTCTCCCAAAAAGAAGCACAAGGCGGAGCGCAGAAGCGGTGGCTGGTGAGCTCCGCGTATAGTCAACCAGGCAGGTGATGATTCAGAACCACAAGTGGAAGCTGTAACTGTATCTGTACAATGCCTAGGTATGTATCAAATCTGCCGTACAAGCTATTCAACAATGCTTGGGGATGATTATCGGGCAGTGACTGTGGAAGATATGCATTTAAGTTATGCAGCCAGCTAAGTCATAATCTTGGGAGGACACATTCAGAGCACTTGGTTTCTCCGCTCAAGGTAGTATGTGCTTGCTCGGGCTCTTCAATTAGTCCATCTCGAGTTCGATACATACTTATAGTTAGTTAGGCAAGCTCGGCAAGGTATTGGGATACTGCCTGGGTGTCCCCTAGCCGTTGGGAAGGAGCGATGGGTGAATGGGGCTTGTCTCTTGCTCTTACCTTACCTTACCCTAATCAGGTACCTTATTAGTGCAGGAAGTTAGTGTAGGCAGGAGGCAGTTCAGGATTTGAAAGAAGAAGGAACCACCAGCGACGCATTGTCAACAAAACCCCGCTGTTAGTCCAGAGCGGGCAGTCTTTATTCTGCACTAGCTAAGGTAGTTACCGCGCCGTGCAGAGGCGCGCTCTGTCTTTTGCCTTGGGAAGCTAAGCAAGTCAAGAAGAGTAGGTAGTGGTGTAGAGTTGATGCACCGCCGTAATAATGGAAGATCCAGGGTTTTTGTCCATGGATGTCAAGGATTGTCAGGTCAGGGGTACCTTACCTTAGGTAAGCCTCGTTACTCCAGCGTAGTGTAATGCACTGCACCTAGTTTAGGTTAGTTAAGGCATCTCGAGGGCATGTAGTGTTACGTGGGGTGAAATGACAGTGAGTGACAGTGCTGCCCTGG